ATGAGTAAATGGTCAGAAAAATAATTTCGTCTCATCTCTATTTCTAAATGTGATATGGGATTTAAGAATGAAAGAAAGATCAATTAAAACTTGAAAGTAACATCCAGTACCAAAGTGTGTTCTGAACATTTCGAAGACGAGGATTATAAGTTTATAGACAGCCAAACTAGGAGATTAAAAGGTGGGTCCTGTCTTCTAGTTTTAAGGTCAACAAGAGGCTTTTTCGAAAAGAAATAATGATTCGTGTCCAGCATGATAATTTCCGTGTATCTCCCTAACATGTAAAGGAGCCCAGCGTAAACCGAGCTTCAGACATGAAATTTATAAATCTCCTCGGGATCGCTCATTAGTTCCTCATCGACATGTGATAGTTTGGATTGTATAGGTTCTCTCGGTTTCTTAAACTTTTTGAAAAATAAACGACTGCCAGTGATTTAGGTTCATTGAGAACCGTGACCGCAACCGGCGATCAACCCCACGCAATTTCTAGGTATTCTGAGGTAGCGTTAACCGAGCGTTAGTGAGAGTTATAAATCTCCTCGAGATCGATTAGAAGTTCCTCATCGACGTATAATATTTTGAGTTGTACAAGTCCTCTCTATTTCTGAACATTTCTAGAAAAATGTGCGACTGTCGGTCACTCAGTCATTAAAGAAACCGGAAGTCGACCTCACGCAATTTCTCAAGGTTACACATGAGATTTTTAAATTCCCTAGAGATCGCTTAGCAGTCCCTCATCGACATGTCATAGCTTCTATTGTAGAGGCTCTCTCGATTTGTCAAATTTTTCAGAAAAATATCCGACTGTCAGTCATTTATAAGTTGTTTGAAAACCTTGACCGACCGCCAGTCAAATTACTAGAGTGTACAATTAACGAGGAACATAACAAAATAACAGTTTTCGACAAAACATGGCTTCATTCTAACCTTAATTCACGAAATCACCAAAAAATTCTCTATGCGATTCTTTTGCTTCGCTTTTGTGCCCATTTCATGTACCTTTTGGGATCTTAAAGATCGTGTGCCCGCAAGTTTGTTTTCCAGCTCGAAAATGTTTGTAATCTCAAATGCAAACTTCTCTTCGATTGTCGTCGATTTTTACATTACCGCAGTCTTTTGAGTGCTGATATATCTGTGAATATGAAAACTTCGGCAAGAGAAGAAGCGATTTCACCCATGAGGGTCATGAGATGTCGTCTGCAGCACACATATGAGCCGCTATTGAAGAAATGTAAAATGGTTTCCGTGTTTACATAGCCTGATGTAAACACGCGGGAGGTTGGGAGAACACGAGATAAGCGTAGGAAACCACGATGCGAAGCGGAGTGGTTTCCAGCTTATCGAAACGAAAACCGTGTTTCGAGAAACGAAAACCGTGTTTACATACGGTCATGTTTTAAGGCCAATCAGAGCGCGCGTACTATTTGAATTATTTTATAAAATGAAATTCAAACCACGTGACTGCATAGTTAACCAGGCCTGATCCCTGAACTTGTTGAAATGGCGTTAATCGTTGGCGCGCACAAATCTGAGGATGTATTCTTTGAATTTGATGATTTCGATGAGGACGAGTTGGGAAAAAGTTTTCTTGAAGAAACTTTACAAAGGATAGAAGACGACTTCATGGGAAATCCTAGACATTACACTCTATTCACCGGTGCTGCTAGTGGCAGTGATATGTTCTGGCAAAATTTGGGAGCAAAGTACGGTGTTCGCATAAAAGCGTTTTCCTTTGAGGCACATGGAGGAAAAAATACTGCTAGAGTTGTTCTAAGCAACGAACAATTGAAACAGGCTGATGAATTCTTGCTTAAAGCGAACAAAACTTTAAAGAGGCATTTCCCGACAAGCAACAACTTTGTAAATAATTTACTTCGTCGTAATTGGTACCAAGTGAAAGATTCAAATGGTGTGTTTGCCATTGGCAAACTTAGTGCGAGTCGAAGCAGAGTCGAGGGTGGCACAGGATGGGCCGTGCAAATGGCAGTCGATTCCAAAAAACCCGTGTATTTGTTCGACATCGTGAATAGTTTGTGGCAACAGTTCGAGGATCGCAAGAGGAAATTTGTGTATTGTGAAGCTCCAAGGCTGACTTTAAATTTTACAGGCATCGGAACAAGGGCTTTACCAGAGAATGGAAAAGTTGCTATTGAAAAAATATTCGAAGAAACTTTTGGATCTCTGTCAAGATTCAGGAGTTAATGGTATGAGGACATTGTTACTACAAGCGACTGAATTTTGACAAGGATACTAGTAATAGTGATAATATTTATTAACTTTTATAATAAAGTTCACATATAATGCGCGCTGTCATCGGTTAAAATAGCGTGCTCTATCAGAGTACGAGGCATAAAGCTGAGTTAAAGCTGTCACATCATCTGCCAATGTCCCATCTTTTCCCATACTTTGGAACAAGCGAGTTAGCAAATTGGTAAAAAAAGAACCAGGCAAACTCGAACTATGTCTTGTGTTACTCCTTACACTTCTTTTGTGTTCTAGCAGCTCCCGGCATGCTTTACAACAGAACAGAGCACAGTCAAGGCTTCTCTATTTGTTACATATTGTAATAGTAGTGTAGATATTTCCAAACCCTACCCTGATTCAGCAGTTTCAGTTTAAACCTCCTTAAAGATTTGTACCACTGGTCTTCTTTGTCACAGGTACCTCTCCCAACAACAGTAACCACTGAGAAAACATTTTTTAAATCTTACATATTGCAAAGAAAGCCTTGTATTGTAACTATGGTATAAAGAAATGCTTATGGTGCAACCTGCTATAGATGGCTCAAGGTCCAGACACGTTTGTTAGAGAACAAACTCTGGGAAAACCATGAGCTTTGTGGAACAGATAATATCCACAGACAAATGACAAGCTTATTTTCTAGAAAAGTATACTTTTGTCATCCTTATCCTTTAAATATTCTTTACAGTGCACAAAAAAAAAAAAACCACATACAATCTGCTAACCTTTGAAAACAGACTTAACTTTTCATAGCAAATATGTGAACTTAAGTATCTTTTTTCATATGTAAGTCATTTTTTCATTGCACAGGATATGAGGGTTGATAGGTTAAAGCAAAAATCTTGAATAGATTACCGCCAAAGATTCCTCAGGTTTAATTGGGAGATATTAGTGCATGTGAAGAGTTTAAAGCAATTCTGGGCAAGAGAAAATATCTGGTAGACAATTTAATTGTACATGTGTACTACCTTGTTATCATTAGCTGATGAAATATTGTTTGTGCAGAGCCAATTTAGTGTCATGCCCTGCACAAAACATGGCTAATAAACTCAAACTCATGCAGCACTGCCTGCTAGGAGTACACCCTTTCCCCACCTTCCCTGATGAAGCTGTCAACAATCGCATATTATAATAGAGTATTTCTTAACAGTATATATATTATACATATATATATATTTTTATACATTTTGGTGTATAGTATGAGTATTTTTGAATAGTATTTATGAGTATTTTTAAAGTACTAAGTACTTTAGTACCAAGTGTGTTTGCTCAATTTTCATGAGGCAGGGAAAACAAAGCAGATAGAGAAGAGCATGCACAGTCAGCCAGTTAAATGGGCTTTTTTCACAGTGTAAGGTAACTAACTGTAAAATATTGCAAGATACCTGTACTTTGTTCACGAGTTATTCTTGTGCAGTTGGACAACAAAATCAATTCACTAAAATTGAGGTAATTATCCACCCCTGAAGTGAATAATTGGTTTAGTATAAACCACACAGATTCTAAAAAATAAGTTTATTTCTCTCAATATTCCGAAAAATGTTCAGAAATTATACTCTTGACACTCATCTCATGGGCTGTTCAGAGGTGAATAGTACTTGCTATTTGCCTCCAAATTAGCTAGTAAGTGCATGAAAAGCGCTATTCATTTGTGTGGTATATGCTAATAAGAGATATTTTTAACATAATAGTGACCAATTTTGAGACATTAATTAAGCTGGTTGATTTCATGATAATTTATTCATCAAGTCTGTAAGTTGTAATAATATTAACCATGAAAATGTGTCAAACTTTCAAGTCCACTAATAACATCAAATTTCCAATTTGTTTTTGCATTTTTGGTTTGGCTAAAACATAGCAAAGAAACTTTTTTTAATACACTTTGTACATCAAAATATGCCTGTATATTCAAATACATATTAAAGAAGTAACTTATGGTAAAGGAATAACTCAAGGCAATCTATAAACACAACTTATGGCTTAGAATATTTTAAAATGTGAATGATGAAGTCTTACCACCTGATAAATTGCTATTATTGAAACTTAAGAAAATGGATCCAATGTAATTTTTTTTATGACCTAATCCCTATTAAAACTTTTGCTTCAGGAATTGTACCTCTTTGACAATGTTATGAAATATCATCAACTTTTTCATGAGGGGAAAAAAAACATCTCAGTCTTTACATCAAGTTATGATGCTCAGGTGTAGTAAATCTTGTCCATCTGTAAGGTTTCTATAGAAGTCTGTTGAAAACTCAAGATCAGGAAACTATGGTCCCAAAACTAGCCACTTCACTCAAATAAATTTAGTGGTCTTTTGTGAGCAAGTGCTGCATAATTTAACCCTAAATTAAAAATGATTTTCTCTCTTTGATTGACAAATGATAAACATATTACATTGTCAAAGTGATCTATTTCCCTTTTTCTAGTTTAAAAGCAGCTTGTAGAACTTGCCAGTAAATTATGAACTGTAATAATTATTTATAGTGATAATTCATGGCATAGATCATTATTTTAAGCATTGCAAATGTGTGACTATTCATAGGAGCTTGTAGCATCCATGTTCACGCTAGAACTATCTCTTATTTTGACTTTGATCTGATGTACAAAATTATTAACAACAATGGAAAAGTGAAAATTGTGCTTTCTATTCAGGTAATGGTTTATATCTGTTGAGGTTTCCTTTTGCTTACAGAGAAAACCCTGTGTAGGTCAACATATCAAATGCAGAGTTCTTTAGCCTTCTACACACGTATGATAGCACCTTTTTTGTCTCTATTGTGACCTTAATTTTTAGAGAACCCAACCCTTGTCTAAATCAACTGAACACTAGGAGGTTTTCCCAGATATCAATTGCATCTGCCATACATTTATCAAAGGCTTTATATGCTCCTATTTTTATCCCTTTGTATGAGGAGAGGTTCCCAAAAATCTTAAATTGATCTGTGTATAATTTTATAATTATATGTTTGGCTGTCTTTCTCAGTTAACCTATGTTCTCCTAGACCTTCATGCAGAAAGAAGTTTGCACTTGGCTTCAAGTGGAGCTTTCCTTTTCAGGAGTTACATTGATGTACCTTTGAACATTACAGGACTGTCAATATGAGTATGATCTTGTCTTCCTGCACTTACGAGATTTCCACTGCTCTCCCAAAGTGGGGGTGTCATTGATGAAGAATCTGTTGATGTAGATCTCCCAGACTCACAAGGATCATGTTTACCACTTTCTTGGCTTGAATTACTTGAACTTAAAGAATGAAAAATGTTTCCAATAGGGGGTAACTTTAAAAAGCTCCATTGCTGTGGCATGTCATAACTGTGGCCAGGCACAGGAGGAATGGGAGGGTGGTTTCCATGAAAAATGTGTTTAGAGTGGAATGATGAGTGGGTTGCATTGTAATCTTGGTGTGGATTAATCATGACATGTTCATGCCCTGGTTGATGCTGAAATGTATTTGTACCTCTGGTTGAATTCTCATTGTGGCAGCTGTTGAATGCAGAAGGAGGTGATGTTGCCAGTCTGAAGCTGGCTGGGTCTGCTTGATGAATTTGATGTTGTTGTAAAGGAATCTGGGTGTGTTCATGACCAGGCCTGATATGTAGGTGGGGCACATACATAGGACCTGTTGTGGTTACTATTGTAGGAGCCTTGCCTTGAAATGGTGCAGGCGTCATGTAGAATGGTGGTAAAGGGTGTGGTAATCTTGGTGGTCCCTCACGAATGTTAGCAGGTGGTGTAAGTCTGCAATGAAAATTAACTACATTAAGTTCATTTTTTAAATTTACAGTTGTTACCAATACAGAATGTTAAATTGCAAAGGGGAGGGGACACGTTTTTACTGTGCCTTGACAGGCTATACCTCCTAGCAGTGTATAGTTTTTAGGGTCTAAATATTAAGCAAGGTATGAAATTACACCTGTTACCATCTTCCTAAACACAAGGTCTTGAATAAGGTTTGTATACTGGTGGTGCATGGTTCACCCCTACAATCTGTCACCTTTTCAAAATGTTTCAAATATGCTGGTACTGTTTACAGTAGTGTCATAAAGTCAATATACCTCAATCTACAGTAATTTTTTGTCTTGAATAGAGAAAACTGACCAGAACCAGTCTTAATTAAGCCTACCCTCTAATCCTCTACAGGAAAATTACCCCAAAACTAAGTAATTAGAAAGAGTATTATTTCCATGGTGACAATCACACAAACAATTTTTATTCATGAGTTGCGATGCACCAGAAAAATGAACTTGTGAGCACAGTGAACGAGTGAGTTTTTTTGATGCATTGTAGCAAGTGAAAAAAAATCTTTCAATCACTTTCCATGGTATGATGTTTTTATTTCAAACGTACAAAGATTTTTTCACCTTTAAATTCAAAGATTGGGAGAGAACTACAGACTGAAAATACACTGCTCTGCCTATAGAACATGAATGATAGTACTTCACAGTGTAAATCTCAGTATGTAAAAAATAAAAGGTGGTTATCAGAGTCAGGTGGATAAGATGAATTGCATGAAAACTTACACCTACTCTATTATAATGTACCAGGTACAAGGTTTACCTTTGCCAAAAAGCATCCTACAAATACCTTAAAGTTTTCATCTGAACTAAAAGTGTATTTGAAAAGTAGATTGAATATCCTTGTTTGAAGTTGTTGATAGATTATGAATGTTTCCATTCACTACCTTGGACGTGTTTGTTTAATATTTGCTGATAAGTCCCTGGTTCTTTTCCTAGGAAGTGTAGCAGTTGTGTCAGCAATATTCTGAGAGATCTGAAAGAATAAGTATGAAGTTTACATATAATCAGAGGCTGTACTTTGAACAACTCTTAAATCAGCTGCAAAAAATGTCTTGCTTAAATTAAATATAGCTGCATGAGCTGATAGTTCCAACAAATGGTAATTGAGAATTACTCAAGTGAACAGGATCAAGTCAACTGAGCCATTATTAAATAAATTTCAGACTCGCGTGCCAATTATTTACACTGTCATCTGTACCCAAGGGCATGGGGAATTTGAATCAGAAATGTCAAGCCTTTCCAGTGTAAGACAAATTTTAATGGAAGAGTCTTAAGAGTATTGAGGGTAAGTTTCTAAAGAAACTTTGTGTTGCATTGGTGGAGGAGTGCAATTTTTCTTTTGCATATTTTCTCCATCTGGTGGATTTTTGTTGGTTATTTTCTTGATTTCCTTAAACTTTTCAAATAGTCTGTTCGTCCTGGAAGACAGCCAAGTCCTATCTAATGAACAATTATTACCTCTTGAAGGACAGCTGGTGGAAGCCTTTCCTTGATCATTCTCACATATTTTACAGTCATTTCAAGAATCTGATCAGTAATGAAAATTTATTTATTGTCGCAATTGTATCAAAGTATGATTATTAATCAACCATCATCTTATCATTTGTATATGTAATCACATGAGGCCAAGTACTATTAAGGATTAATTGCACAAGAGTTTTCAAAATTTTCCAAAATTGCCCAAGTCGCGAAGTGACGAGGGCAATTTGGAAAATTTTGAAAACTCAAGTGCAATTAATCCTTAATAGTACGAGGTCTCATGGGATTACTTGTTTATCAATAAAGGGCAAAATTTATACGAAGGAAAATCACGCGCGCAGTCTATTTTTAACAAATTTCAAGATAACGAACGGTTGCTATGCAACAGATTAGCCAATCACTAACAGGTAATCATGCCCTCTCTTGATTACTAAAAATGCCCACGATTAAGAAAAAATGCCCTCTCTCTCAACCAATCAGCGCTCAGTAATTTTGCCCTTTATTGATAAGAGGTGTAAACATTAACATAGGGATACACTTTGTTTTACCACAAATATATTTTACAAAAATGAATCAAATTTGCTTCAAGTTACTTACAGAAGCCATATCAGATTTTTTCCCAGCAACACTAGGTAACAAAAAGCGGAGTTGATCGCAGCTTTCCTTAATTCGTTCTCTAGAAGAAAATGAATTAATGTGAGGATTTCATTAGATGAACAGACTGAGGTAATTTAAAATGATGTGTGGGGCTACTAATGGTACTTTTCTCATTTTTTCTGCATCACGTTTCCCTATAGTGTAGACAAATAATGCAAATCTAACCTGCTACTGATGACTAAAAATGCACAGTACTTCAACAGGCTGGATGTTTTATACATAAGGTAATTGGTAAATTAAACACAGACCTGGAAAGATCCTTTTTTATTTACTCTGGCTATACAAGGAATACCCATCAACAAAAGTAGTATGCTTTTTGCATTGCTTGCTCTGTAGAAGGATATCGTCACCTGGTTTCTTTGGAGAAATGACTTTACTTAATATTTGACTCCATAATGGTGTTTTCCCTTACAGTCCCTGATTACTCTCAATCCAGTGAAGCTGTGATACTCCCAGTTGCATTATCATTGAACTTATTAGCCAAAGAAAAAGTCAAATGAGTTGGTTAAATTGTGACAACCTCTCTTTCTCTCTCCAGGGATCAGACACCAAATACTGTTTATGCAAATTAAACAAACAGATTATCCCTTCTGTGTTGAAATTAGCAGTTAAGAAGTAAAACTTTGTCATTGTTACCTTCTAATCCTCTCTTTGGAGCTGTGTTTGGACAGGTCATCATGAAGTAACGTGATTTTCATATCTTTGCTTCCCAGTTGTCCACTGATCATATATGCAGGACTGCCAACTATCTTTCCACCTTCTCTGTCAGGTGATGATTGGGTGGTCACTACAGAGTGATCTGCCTTGGGAGCTGCCTGTGATGTCAAGCCTGCAGGGTTTTGGACACATGTGGAAGAATTGATAGCAACAAAATGTGGTGGAATGGTATTTGGTCTGTTTTGATTTGTAGGTGGTATGTTGTAATAAATGTGATTATAATGCTCAGGACACACTGTGTTGACTGCATTTGGGGGAATATGAACAGAAACATGATCTTCCTGGGTGAGCATGTGATCTGCTGCTGATCGTTGGAGAATCAGTGATGAGTGAGGTTGACTTTGGATCTGGTTTCCCCCAAGGAGAAAGTTCTGTGGAGCAGCAACATTGCTGTTTTGAAGATGTAACCTGTTGTCATCTGTGACTTGATTGTTCTGTGATGGATCAGCAAAGCCACTTCTACTGACAGGAATATATTGGCCATTGTGACATAGCTGTTGATAGGTTGGCCCTGACTGATTGTTATGGAGTGTGGAGACTTTGCAAAAGGATTCCAATGTTCCATTAGAGTTGTCTGCCTGGGACACTCTACTACTACAATTCTGTCTGCAAAGAGAATGATAAAAGTTTTAAATCAGTGATTAATTTTAGACATGCTTGATCATGTTTACTATAACAAGGCACTGTTTGCTAATGTTTAAACAATCAGCAGTGATTTTAACATCCTGGTTAAGCAAAGGTCAGTAACTGGCCCAGATTATTATCCACTGGTAGACTATCAGTCAATATACCAACTTATATATAATGACCATGCCTACCCATGCTACATACATAATTAAGGTAACCCACTTACTGAATTGGTTGTGATGTCGAATATTTTATAATTGATGACAAATTCTCCTCTGTGTTTTCTTTGGTTGTTCCTAAAGACTTTGGTCCAGCTGAATGAATGTTTCCTTCTGGACTCTCTGGTGTCAATGGCATGCCTAAAATAATGTGAAACTATAAAATTTATACAAGCCCTCAGAAGCATTAAGAGTTTTCCTCTATGGAGTGTGCACCAAAAACCAGCAAGGGGGTCAAAGAAGCATGCCTCTCTTCTGAAAATTGTCATTTTCAGGTGCTCAGAAGTGCCTTTTTGTACACTATTTAGGAAATAGGTTTCATAAATCAAAACATGGAAAACTTTTGAGTATTAGCAAGCCTATCTAGTTCATATCTCATCCAATGGAACAATTGACAATAGTTCCTTTGAAGAGGTAAAGAAGAGGTAAAGAACTTCTTCCTTTGAGGGTGGACACCACATTGTCCATGTTGGTGGTTTTAGTACTGACCTTCACATGACTTGTGCCCAGCCCACTTCAACAAAACCTGGTTCACCCTTTCATCTGTCACTGGAAGCTGAATGACATCATTTATTTCATGGTAACTGAAGTCCTCTTTGAGATATAAAAAAAGAAAGTTGTGGATTGAGTTTGAAAAAAAAAGTAAACAAAAGGGCAGCCTCTTGATGATGTATTTGATTCTGGAACATACCTTTATCTCCTTCCTGTGTTAATCCAATTATTGCTGTTGAACGGTTCAGAGAATTGGGATTGTACCTAGAGTGATTTGTCAAGGTAATCAAGTGATCTTCTGTTAAATTTAAATTACATACTGCTATGCAGGGAGATGAAGTTTTTAGTTGTGAAAAGCATCTATTTGTGCTCATTCAGTTTCACTTGCTTTTGAAATTATTTGATTTACTTGATGATGAAAAACATTCAATTAAATCTCAGCTTCCTGCACTAAATTTTAATTTTGCATAGCATACGATTGTTCGACTTGTTTTCGGGCAAAGAACATGCTGGAATGCATATGTATCATGATTAGTATTGTTGATTGAATTGTATGATTATGATAAGATGTTGCAAAGTTATAAAGAATTAACATGAGAAGAAAAGGATAAATACGTCAAAGGCAAAGAAAATTGTAGGCAGTAGCGAGTCCACGGAAGGGATCCAATGTAGCTATTAAAATTCTCTATTGCTATTTTAATTAAATTAAGTTTCTTGAATCGTAGAACACAACTTTTCCTATTATTGCTTAACAGCTTTCTCTGCAAGTTTTGATATATTCTTATCCTCAAAGAAGAAGTTCCTGGTATCACAAAATCGTATTCGTTAATTAGATCACACTTTTCTGTCATTGTTTGGCGGCACGCTGCGTGTAATACAAGGTGTACTCTAAATAGATTAAAACTGGTTTCCCGACATTTTGAGAGTACTTACCTTATCGTAGAAACTATCTTTTTAGCGTTTCCTGCCACTGAGGATATATCGAGGAAAATAAGTAGAAATGTTTCTTTTGTACAGACCGAGATCAGGTTTGTACAATGACATGTTACAACTTGTATCCCTTTAAGTGTCTGTTTTTCTGCCCATCCTTTGCGAACAGTTTCATCTTCTGCCTCGTCAATAATCAGAAGTTTCTTTTCACGATCCTAGGAAAAAACTCAATGATTCTCGTCAAAACTATTTTTTGGGATGTCTCTACAAACAGGAAAATATATAAGCAAGCCCAAAATAACTACTGGAAGATTTTAACTCGAAGAAGTTTATCGAATTACGGTGAAGTTTTTAAATCTTAGAATAGGTTTTTGAGTCCCGCTCGAATATTCCATGGAATAGATTGTTTAAAGCTTCACGTAATTTTTTCTTGTAAGAATAGTTTACGAATCACAATTTGTTCAAAATTTCTTTGAAAAATTAGACATTGAGTTGAACGAACGTGAAAAAAGTGACTCGAATAAAGAGAAATAAGTTGTAACAAATTTTAATCAAATGTTTACCTTCTCAAAGCACGAAGGAGTTGTCGGTCGAAACATATTTTCTTGGGGCGTTTTTAATCCATTTGGAGTCTCTACACTTGGCTCCTTCAGAGCTACATCTCCTTCGTTTACAACAGTGTATTCAACAATTTCTGTGCGCTCATTTTCAACTGCTTCGTTATTTGGCCTTTCAGCGATTGTTTGATCCGAGGTCCAAGAATTCGATCCTTCCTCAAATAGTTTTCTTCTCACGACGCTCATAGCGGAAAATTCGACGGCAAATTCCTAATTCTGTCCTTCCCAGCTGTCGTTTAAAAGGAGACAATTTTCGTTGTAAACGGTAGCCAAGATGAAAGCTTTTGTTCTGTCAGCTCACCTTTTACACACGCACTTCATGTGGTTGATTTTCACGTGTAGCCAGACACAAGTTCATTCAAAATTAGGCGCGGAACGGCGCGTCGATTTAAACTTGCCGAAAACCAATCACACGTGCCAAAAAAGTCACATGAGTTATCCTGATAACTTTGCCCTAGGTTCTCCCGTTATCGTGTACATTCTTTCCCTAGGGAAGTTATGTTTTGGCCGCCCCTCAGATGGACCTAGACACAAATATTACGTAAAATGATGATTCAGGAAATTCTTGATTATTTTCTTAATATATCAAATTTTTCTTCTTCATCTCTTGAAACTGTTCTAAATATCTAAGAAATTATTTGAAAATAAATTTTTGAAATGTCCCAAAATGATCTAACGTTGTACAAAGTTGAATGTTGTACATCAGCAAACAGGCAAATCAGAACAAGACTGTGGTTTAGCAGTCTCTGGCTGGATAACGCTCATAAACTTTTCACTTAAGCCTAAGATATTCTCCATACTAGTCTCTGTACATTTACCAAAGTGCTGACAAGGAGAATTTGTCTAACAATGAAGAGTTTCTTTAGTTGATGATCATTTCCTTTAATCTCATGACATTAATGTGTGATTCAGTGGTGATAACGCAAGGAGAAATTAGATACTAATCACTCTCAGGGGTTACAGGGTGAAGGGATATATTATTGATTGAAGTAACTGATGAACTGGATTATTGACAAGGAAATTGGGATTGAAGCCATCACAAGACTACCGAATCATGACTTAAGGGAAAAAATCCTAAATATTCGTATCACAATATTATAAAATTTTCTTCATATCCCAAAACGCTCTAAATATCTTAAAATATACCCGACTTTTTGTGTCTAAGTCTACCTTCTGACGCTATTCTTTCGAATTGTGCCATCAGTCGGTGTCATCTCCCAAGGTCACTACACCAGGGCGTTTCTCAGAGTCCGTCTTGGTCTCAAACAAAACAAAGCGCAATATAATATATTCACCCACGCCGCGCTTTCTTTTGCTCTCAAATGTCCGCTCTACTATTTTAATTTTAAAATGCATAAATTTGTGATGCGTTTTTGTAAAACAACCGAAAACGCCTTTGGAAGAGACTGTATGGAACGCATTTTTACTGTCTCTCACTGTCCACTTGAGAAACAGAGCGTTTAAAACTTGAAACAGATTTCGAAAGTCTCCGTTTTCATTAGTTAATTTCGCTTTTAAACGAAAATGAATTTGAGACCGATAATTATATATCGCCGGGGGGGAGGGAATTTTGGTTTTGTTACAATAACATTCACTTGATCTCCCCTTAAGCTCTGTAGTTTTCTAAAGATCCCCCTTAATTGGCAGTCAATTTTTTACAGTTCCGCCTTTGTACTCTTTTAGCGACGACCAATTCCCCCCCCCCCCCCACTACGTTTCCTGAAGAAGTTTTTCCCCTGTCTTACCTGAAAACCATTTGATCCCCCAAATTCTCCGACCCCAACCACAGGCAAACGCTAATGGCTGGTTTCCAATCATGAACGAATTACGAGTTATTTTTTATCATGAGTCCTGCGAATATCCATGGAACGTGGCAGGGGAGGGGAGGGGGGTAGTCTGTCTAGATTACACCACGAAATCGTATAGAGATATTCGCCCCAGCTGTCCATTCCAAGAATTCCACAGACTCTCCCGTCCATGCGAAAACAAAATCACAAAACCCAGTAGTGTCACAATGTAGCAATTTATTCTTTCTCCAAAACAAATCTGAATTTACTCGTGTCTGAAAGAATCATTACATATTTGCTTTATGTACAATAAGAACATTATTTGAAACTATGAAGTGTGTGCTTCAAAAGCAATGTAGCCATAAATAAGTCATTTTTACAATAATATTATTATAAATAAACTGCACTGAGTACAGAATAAGAATCTTCTATAACTGATTTTTAATATATTATGACGAGTAATTTCTTCTATCAAAGGTAATTATAATAATGACAATAACAGTTAAAAAATTAATATTCGTCACGGCTCTGTGTGTTTATTTCTCTAAAAGTGGAATAACTCATTATAAAAAGAACTCTAACTCAAAAAATGCCAACAGCAATGCAAGAAACAAATCGCTAGCGTACTGAAAACTTTGCCAAAAGCGATGATTCGTTACTTTCAATTCATTTTTGATTTATTATTGTTATTTTTTAACTTTATAGCTACATCAGAAAGGCAAATGACAACTTTCGCTATTAGTGGGAAGATTCTGTAGCGATATTCCTGAACTAAAATTGTGCTTCAAAGCGCGAAAAGACCTGTATCCTCCAATTCTGTTTTCAACAAGTGTTGAAAATTCCATTCGATTTATATGTGCCAATAAAGTGCGGGAAAACAGCCGCTAAAACGATTCTCGTTTCCCTTTGTACATCGCTACCACTTACAAACTTCACAGACACATTCCTAATTCAAAATTGAGCCAATTTTTGGCTGACCGTGTCACCTGACTCTGCTTTCTAAGTCTCGAATTCTGAGCCCTCTGATGGGCACAGACTGACCACCAATCAGAGTAAACAAGTTTCTTCCTTTTGACCAATCAGCGAGTCGTGTTACTTCGTGAGTGTATCCGTGCTCCATAAAGCTTGCGTTGTTTTTCTTTGGAGCCTTTTACTGTTTCTGTTGTCAATCAGTTTGGTCTCAGCGTAGCCACGTTTACAAACCACCTTATGCGTTCAACGGCGTCTTTCAAAGTGCGCAAGAATAACACGACCGAGGCTCAAATTGCAACCGTTTCAAAACAAACTCATCAGCGATTGAGAATAAGTTTAAACAGGTTAAAAGCCCTTGTCTACCTGAAAATATTAGATAACACTCAAGGGAGTGTTAACTGTATCGGAAAATATCGAGGGAAACGCCTTCTTTTTTAGCGGGCTTCACTTGTTATGCTAACATTCAGTAATCTATCGCTTTTTCTGCAAATCAAGATATACTTTGGCCTGTTCATTACGCCTTAATGCATCTGAACTGTCACCATTATCGAATAAATAGGTAAACAACAACAAAAAATTCAAGAAAAGCTGCAAAATTTGTTATCAAAAGCAAACAAATTTGCGTGGTTTTTGTGTAGTGGAGTACCTACACTTAATTATTCTGTCTGGAGTTCCATATCTCCCTGTTATATTTTAAATTGGCTTCAACAAAGAGTGTATATTTTCCTCCACTTCTTGGCTGAAGTCTGATACATCTCGGCACAGTGAGGCTTACAAAACTTGGTTATTAAAAAGGCACCAATAATTTTTCCTTCCCTCTGAAGTAAGGCTGACGGAAAGGAGGTGTCTTCTCCTTCTGTTTTTTACTCTGAATAAATTTCTAGCCACGTTGAATGTTTTAAACTTCAAAAGTAAGCTCGAAGTACCAAAATGATCACGTGAAAATCATGCGACCAGCACAAAACACCAGCATGTGAATGTTCCAAGCCACAGAAATTAATGGAGGTAGTTTATGTCCTTCAAATTATTAGCACGTGGTTCACACGTGATTTTAACTGCTAGCACCAGTCGTCTTCGTCGCCCATTTCTTCTAAACCGTAAATTGCATAAGGACTTTGCCCACTTCGTATCGCCATGGCAATGTGCTGGTTCATATTGGGATGATAGCCATTTTCCAGTACACTGTCGCCCCGGTTTTCTGGCAACGCTGGTGCCTTGCCAGTCAAGGAGAGCTGCGAGCCATTTCGAGAGCCGGGAGTCTGAGGCAATTGTCGACGGTGGGGGCCGACTAAAGCCGTCGTTACACCCGGACCGCGTCCTTCGTTCAACGAAGTCGTAGATCGGTGAGCAATTGGAGTGTTTTGACGGTAACGGCGGGATGGGCTATCATTAGGCTGAAAATTAATAAGGAAAAAAAAAAGGTGAAGTCTGCACTTGAGCCAGATTACGGTTACGCTAGGATAAAGCCACTAGCAGTGTTGTTAATTCTCCTGCTTATGGATGCTAATCCAAGGATGGTAATTCCCCAGCATTTCGTCAGGTTTCCTTGAGAGAGGCATGGTGAGAGAGTAAAGTATCTTACCCAACAACTCAACACGATGACCTGGCCAGCGCTCGAACCCAGACCCTTCCCGCCGAGGTCCAGCGCGCGGTCGCCATAAGGCAAGCACTTCCCTTAAAATTGGGAGGTAAGATGAGTCTGGAACAGACTCAAGTACACTTTACCACATAATTAAATGCACATTGCCATGAAGACAAAACATTTATAATGGACCTAGTTGGACACAAGCTATAAAGGTCTTATAAGGAACGAAACTTCAGACAGTCGTCCAATAGGCAACATAAGCTGGGTTACAAAGCTGCATTACCTGATGATTGGGATGGTACAAAGCTTGTGCCGAACCCGAGTGATATGGTCCATCAGCTAAGCTAATAGCTATGTCGTTCATCGGAACTCCCTGTTACACACAAATTTTAAAACATATCAAGTTTTCGCTTCAAAAATTCAATCATATTTGCATCTCCACGTACCTTTCACTAGTCAAAGAGCTGATTCTTCCAGCAAGTTATTTAACATAAAGAATAACTAAAACATGGAACATTTGGCAGACCACTCTGTGTTTTCGGTGTACTATTTAGAGGGAGTGGAAGGCACGTAAAGAGATAAAAAAAGGTCAAAAATAAAAGGATAAGAACTAATGAGTGATATATGAACAGCGGTGGCCCAAGGGAAGACAAGACAGGGCCAAGTATAGCGGTGCAAACAAGAACACGTGATAGGAAATGTTAAAATGGAGACATGGAAGGGATTTGCGAGGAGTAATAATTTTTTTTTTACGTCAGTTGAACTGACTCTTTTAGTGTTAAGTTTAGCAAATACATGTTAGTACCGTCCCATGAAAACGTTTTCACAGCAAAAAGAATAACCTTCGTCTAAACAGCTTAATTCACGTTTCGTGACAAGAGCTATATTGGTCGCACAAGTAGTGCCGGACTCAAGACGTAAACATGCTGCTCATACAAACAAGACTTTTTACGAAAAACGTCTTCAGGGGACAGTAATTTTATGTTATAAAAATTATGGAATATGGTTACAAAGTTAAGTTTAAAAATCCCTCGTTCATAGTTTGCATTATGACAGAATATTCGGCTGATGTTAAGTTTACATGTAATGAGCGAAGAAAAAAAAAGATAAGAAAATGCGTCGCAATCGTTTGTATGTATGTAAGGGCAAGTAACACACAACATAAGCACGTGATATACAGCTTCTTAATCACGTGGATCAACCCTTACAGCCATTGATTAACAGTAAGTGGAGGAGACAAACGATGAAGCGCATGTGTGAGATATCAACGTATCTGTACCTCTCCTAGCTCGGGGTCGTTATCTCGTCGGAATTTCTGGAACATTGGTCCTCCGACAAATCGACTGAGAACAGTTCCCTGGGAAATCAACACCAGTCGATGGTGAGGAAAAACAGAGATAAGGAAAAAGGAAAAATAGAGGAAGAAAAAACAAAACTGGCAAAAGAAACAGCTTGTCTGATTGCTTCCAAAAAACAAACAAACAAACAAAAACTGTTAAAAACCATGAGCAGCTAATGAATGAACGAAGGAATCTATGGAGCCGTCAAGTAATCAATCAGTCAGTCAGTCGATCATATGCCAAACATTTCTTCCATGTGGTGTTTTTTGATGAACGTTTTGACAAATAAAAAAAGAGAAATAATAAATAAAAAAAGAGAAATAATAAATAAAAAAAGAGAAATAAACAAAGAAGAGAGATAGAGACAAAGTTAAGAATATGAAGTGAAACCCACCTGGTCAGAATCCTGCTCCATGAAAGATTAGAGGGAGAAAGAGAGATGAAGATGAGTAGCAATTCTTCAAATAAAATTGTTATCATTGATAAGATTACTTTCATCGTCATCACTACTATTATCACTACTATAGTTATTGTTTTCATTGTTATTATTATTATTAATATTATTATTATAATCAGTGAAAGGTTTTAAGATAATCGTCTTTATAAGTTGTTGCTAATTCCGTTGATGCTTCTTACTAAAAACTTTAAATAAAAGTAGTGACTTTCTGTCTCGTCGCCAGACTCCCTCTTTCTTAGGGACGGGTCGAGGAAAGAGCCTGGATAGCTTTGTTCCTTTAAAGTTATTTTTGACAAATAAACTTTATGGTTGAAAAGATTTTAGGTTAAAATATCTTTTAAAGTTTATGAACACGTCATTTAAAGAAATATTAATCGTTCTCGGTTAAGAAAAAAACTCGTCAGGAGAGCATAAGTATTATCCACAATTTCCTTCAACAAGTTTAGGCTTATTTGTCGCTTCTTTAAAAGTGTTATTGCGAGATGCTATGTAGAATTTCAGTATGGTTTAAATACTCTTTAAGTTAGTATGAGAATTGTAAGCAATGTGCAAACAGAATTAAAACAGAACTCTTGAGCTTTGCTGGTGAGAAAACAATAAACAAGGTAAGAACAAAGTATACGCGAACAATGCACAGTGTTTGACAACGAAGAATCCGTGAGCGATGAAGTGCAAAAGAGAGAAGCCAGAGGTTACACAAAACACTGTCCAGAGTTAGGAGCCACAGGTATTCAGCTCAATTTCACAGGGACAAAAACACCTGCTCTTGTGACTTGAATTTTCAGTTAGGAATGAAAAGCGTAACAAAAAAACTCACCTTGTAATAAATTGGAACAGAAAATTTACATATTTTGAGCAAACCGTTCCAATGCAAAACTTTTTCGAGAACTTTCCCCAGAGCGTGATTCGACGAAAATATGAAGTAACTGTTCACATGGGGTAAGCAAACTTGTCACGTGACATATCCAGAAAGCATTGAAATTAACACTTCTTCTGGTCCCTGAGCCTTTCTCGGGTGCTCGATGGAAATGATAAGGCCGCAGAAACGAGTGGGGCAATTCCGCCACTAAAACATCCTTACAAAATGGCCATTTACAAAAGCTTCTGGTATCTTTTGAAAAAAACTACTGTAGTTAAAAAAATGTTTGTCTATCTACTACTGTTACTCAGCTGCCTGCCTCTTTCACCCACCCTTGATTGAGCTTGTCCTTTCCGTCTCATGAACTTATAGTTTTCGTAGATGAGTTTGGCGCAGTAGATCTTACCCACTGTCATCTGTGGCTGCTGGTTCACTTGATTCGCTAAGGAAAAGAACCGCGAAGAAATCTGTAAACTATTATCATCCCCATGGAACTCCACAATCGATGGCAAAAATAAATGTGAAAAATAATCACCACTACAAGACCTAAACACTGCACGGAGTATGCATACCATTGTTGATGAGACTTGGAGGTTTGGGCACCACTCTGTCCAGTGTCTTCTTGGTAAGTTTGGGCCAAACACGTTTCAACATGGCTCGCAATTCCTTATCGTTCTCCTTTAGATTATCTGGAAAAGGAAACAAAGACCAATGCTACAACTCCCGGATGGAACGCTGGGATTTATCAGCAATTTTTAAGTTTCTCGGATGAAGATAGCTGTAGGAGACAAGTGGAATGCAGACGACCGTATCCCCATTAGCCATTTGACCACTAATTTCTCCTTATTACTCCTAACCCTTTCTCCTCACCTCGAATCACTCATTAAAGTCACGAGAATATAAGAATTGATCACCGACTGAAGACGCTCTTGATTATTAAATAAATTCTCCTTGAGAAATGTATAGTGAACAGTATGGAGAAGATGCATACTAATGTTAGGGTGTAAAGGTTTAGCGAAGTAAAATTGATAAAAGCCCACTAGCGAAATATTTGGAGGAAAGCTAAAAAAAAAACCGAGTCGAGTGCTTGGGCGAAAAATATTTTATAAAAGCAAACGCAATTTTCATTTCTGTTTCGACCTGTTCTGTTTGGCTTTTATTTCTTTTAATGCAAACGTTTTTCAGTTGTGCCGCACGACAAGACCAGAATATTGTTTCATATTATTTCGCCTGAAGTTTTCCTGTTCTCCTCGTCCTCGATCCAGTCTACGCACGTGAGTAAAGAACAAGATAACCTTAACCAGGGTACAAACACAGACCTTTTCAATACCGGCGTGGTCCCATAGGCCTCCTAACATTGGGTCGAAGTATCCCTTACAAAACCCGCTTTTGGTAATTTAAGAAAGTCAAACGAAAAAATCATTTGTTCTCAACTTGCAAACATAACGATGTCATTTCTTACTTTTCTCTGTCATAATTTTGAGGGACGTTCGCACTAGGGAAAACAGGGTAGCAGTAAAGGTGACCGTGTTGTCAGAATGCAGCGGCATGTTCATTTTGATCAGGCGCTGAAAAAGAAACCGATAAAGGTTAGTGATACGTGTAACCACATCTGAAAAATCTAAGATACTAACACCATGCTAGTGTGGCGCAACACAGCGGTCAAACGAAGGGCATACGAAAAGAAGATCAATTTTTAACCAGTCACCTCGAGCCAATTTCCCGCGCAAAATTCAGCTGCTCTTCTACACTAAATATAGGCAGAAATATTGACACGTTTCACAGAAATTTATAAAAAGCTACAAAAATTGGGAAAAGGAAAAGTCGAGACTTTTTGTGCACAGAGCTTATTCAACTTAAGGTTTCATGTTAATTTTAGCTTTAAAACATTTGCACATGCGCAGACGCTTGATCGCTGTGTCGTATGACGCAGAAAGGGAGCATACTACAAGACTTGACGCTCAGAGTTTTCACCTTTGACGTATAAATATCTTAAGTTCAAATTTGCTTTTGACTTACTTTGTAAGCAACTATCTTAGGACACTTCTTCCCGATTCCGACTGGAGGAGACATTTGTCGTAACAACTGACATACTTCTGTGTGTTTGATGCGGCCTCTGGGGAAAAGCAAACACACAAATAAAGGAATAAATAAAATATTGCTTCATCAATGCATTATTTCCCTTGTTCTGTTGTCGTTTGTTTGCATCATTTATCTGTTTGTTTGTTCGTTTGTACCTTCGCTGGTCTATTACCTTGTTCATTCGTTTGTTCGTTCTTGCGTAAGATCTGCCTGTAAAGGACATTCATTTACTTTGAGTTCTCATTCGCTTTACTTCTCTCTGTGATTGGTCCAAAAAACTCGCGCCACTCTCTCAACCAATCAGATGCAAAACTTAAACCAATTACAGTTTGGTTGTTTTACCTTTGAATTCTCATTGGCTCTTTAAGGTATTTTTCTTAGGTTCTGATCGGCCGTGGTGATTACTCTAGTTTTGTCCACGAAACTCAATCAAAACGCCCTCTTCTTTACAATTTTAAAGAACACACAAGACTCAGTGGAGAAACTTACGTGGCGCCTGGGTCGAACTCAGACCACACGCGGACAAACTCGTCCAGGTGGTGTGGACCAAGAATAGATTCATCACGTGTCAAGTACTCGAAATTGTCCATGATGACAGCCACGAAGAGATTCAAAAGCTGTAGTTAGAAAAGAGGAAGGTCTTGCTTATAAATGAAATAATCAACCATAAATAACTTTATCAAACGCTTTCACCTTATGAACCAATCACATTATAGTCAGTTGGGCAAAAGGTGGTCACTTTCACGAAATAAAATTGGTAAAAGTTAAAAAGTATACAGCCAGAAAACACTACTAACCAGAAAAGAACAAAAGAAAATAAAGGAGATGAAGTACAAATACGCGAACGGGCTGCCACATTTCTTGTCGGTCAGTTGACAGTCTGCATCACTTGTACAAGCCTTCATGATGACGTGCCAGTTTTCACCTGTTGCGGACCTGTATAAACAGTAACGCAAGAAGCGTGACAATCTTTTCAGCCAGCCAATCAACATTAACACGTAAGTCACGCAAGAATTGTAAGATCTTGGAGCTGAGCACAAAAGCGCAAAATGTGGTGGGAGAGAAAATATTGAATTTAGATTTGGGCCATTCAGTAAGGTATGAGGTCGTAGTGTTGCATATCGTGTGCACGTCAACAAATTTGCGACGTTTTTTCTCTAAAAAATGTGAGTCGTTATTACCACGTTTGAGCAATTTTAAATTAAATGTCGAAAATTATCCAGAATTGCTTTGGTTTTGCCTTAATTCGTTATGTGATTGGTCCTCAAAACTCGTGCCGTTTTCTCAATCAACCAGATTCACACTAAAACCAATCGCAACTTGGTCAATCGCGTTTTCCCGCGTTTTGCCCGTGATATTTTCCTTGCTATGATTGGCTGTTATAGTTACTTTAGATGCGGTTTTAAGCCAATCATCGAAAACACTCTAATGAGAATAATTCCCTAACTTCATTTCTTTAAGTAAATCGAGCAGTGACTTCTTTCCGCAAATTAAATATATATCATTTCTCAGTGCAGGACAAGAGACGATCGTTCAAAATGTGAACGAGGCTGTTTATGTAAACGCAACCATGATGAAATGTCTTTGGATTATTTTGGCCCCAGGTGTTACTGCACGTACATAAGCATACGGTCGCCCATCATTTCAGTTTTCAGAAGTAAATTTCTAATCAGATGAGCCCGCACTAATCAGTACGAGTTGTATATCAGCGGTATAACCTTAAAATCTCACACAACGCTTTCAGGAAAAAAAGACTCAAGCGTAAATGTATTGTTTCTACCTGAAGAGTACTTGAAGGGCTGCTGGGAATGACTGGAAGTTATTATTGGAGTTAATCTCTCCCCACATACCACCACGATCGTCATTGTCAATGCTGATTTGGCCAAACGTCTGCAAAAGACCACAGCGTCAAATCACATCCATTTAAAACTATCACCACGCACCATGGTACCAGGCCCCCAGCAACAATGTGAATGGAACACATTCTCCACCCAATTCTTCTTCTTGAACAGCAAACATTTATGCCAGGAAACACACAAAGAAAAAACCGCTAATCCGCTAGGCAATATGTTCTTCCACAAGAGTTCATCACCTAAACTAACATACCTACATAACAAGGTAATTTGGTATTATCAGCTGAGTTGATGAAGTAACTTGGCCACCGTAAAGAGTTTCAAAGCTGACGTTTTGAGCGTCAATCCATCGTCAGAGAAGCCCTTGAAGCGTTAGCCCTATGTCAGAAACGTCAGCTTTGAAAATCTTTACGGTGGCCAACCAACAATTTACCCTGTTATACTCTCTCACCGACGCAGTACCACAGTTTCTTTAGTAACTTACCCCGTTTTAACATACCTGCATGCCGATGACCGCATAGATGAAGAACAGAAGACCAATAAGCATGCCAACGTAAGGTAAAGCCTATAACAAAGAACATTCACAGTTGAAAAAATCGAATTTACTAAAATCCATGTTATGCCTCTACTTGGCACTCTTTGGAAGCAATATTTCGCTGGTGACCATGATGATGTTAGGTTCTATTATGGCAGAGTACTTGCCATTACTTCAAGAAGTCATGTTCATATCCTTCTATCCCTTTGGTATTTGCCAAATTCAAGTGTCCGTTGGGAGACTGAAAACTAGTTGCATGTAAACTGACATAGATTTGACTGCAAGCAATGCAGATCGGATAAAACCAAGAGCAAACCGAAGTTATTTTGGTACAGTGTGCAGACGAATATTTGTAAGAAATGTGCTCCAAACTATACGTTTCTACTAGAAAAAACCGTTTCTTTTAGCGAATTATAATCAAATTTAAAAGCAAACTTGTCTGATTCCCCCGCTATTAGATGCTTTGTCTTACCTTGAATGATTGAAGAAAGGTCCACAACAATATTCTGATTGTGTAACCTTGTCTTAACAGCTTGATCAACCTAGCCGCCCTGAAGAGACGGAAGAGACTGGGATCGAAAGGCATCTGGTTCTCATCAGACTGCGAGGAAACAGAGTGATGTGATTGAGATAAAATGTAACCAGAGAGCTGGGTTAGGACTAACTTATAATCCCAGGGACCAAAGAGTTAGCAAGTAGAATGACGGAGTGAATTGGAAATGAAAAGCAGCAAAGTATGTACAAAGAAGACCTCAACTTCAATCGTTGGTAACTACGCGCAGATCTCCTGAGCAGAGTACCATTACCTACCAGTAACTGAAAACATCTGTTGGTGCGCATTAAAAAAGTAAAGTGATTTCCTTTCGAATAGCTCCATAGATAAACTATAATTTTACTATCGATACTTCGAAAACGCCGCAAACTCGAAAGGGCCTTTTCACCTAGATCCAAGTACAATTCTGTGCTCTTTTCTGTTCGTTTTTCTCGCAAAATAGTCCCGTATTCACTGTTTTCTTTCAAGTAAGAAAAATCGTTTGAACAACACTTAAAAAAAAATAGAGGCATGCAATGTTTTGTTCTTCCATTCTTAGGTAATTTCTTCCCCAGGCCATCCTCCGATAACTCTCTTCTCCTTGAACTTTTCGGTATTTCTCTTTATAGCTATAAATGCGTGCGCGGAACTTTAGTATTCCACTATCACCAAAATCAGAAAGTGTCTTGTTGTTGATTAATATAATTATGCTAGTATTACCTGGATCCGCGACAGAGCAAAGTCCAACAAACTCCCCAAGACGATGATGAAGTCAAAAACGTTCCAGTTGTCTCGGAAGTAATTCTTGTAAAACGAAAAAGAAAAAAACATTATAAATAAGCTCTGAATAATACTTTTAACCACCGTCCAAAAAGTACTCTTTTTAATGAACTATGAGAACACAGAAGTAATACAATAACTGTTTCTGCCCGGTTTGGCCTTTCTTTTACATTTGCAGAAAACCAAGTTTCGGTCATTATCATGGAATCCAAGGATTTCATAAAGCTGACGTCCAGCATGTTTCGGTAACAGTCACCTCTCAATCAGTATTAGCGCACGCTCTGTTATCCATATGATACCAAGGCAGCACTTCCTTTTCAAATTTATTCAGATAGAAATGTGCCGTCGGTGAAATGATAGTGTTTTCGGAAAACGCCGTTTAAAAAATTAATCTCGATTAAAGCACTTCTTCCTGAAAGTCAAGGAAGACTGTGGATATCCGATTTATATGCCATCGACATACAGCATTACGACCTGGTCAATGTGAAACATCAACTTAAATATAAAGTCCTAGGAAAAACTAAGACACCACTTACCGTTCGGAAGGCAAACAATTTCAAGATAGCCTCTCCAGTAAACATGAAGGTAAAGACTGTGTTGAACGTGTTTAGAACGTATCGATACTCTGGAGGCTCATTATGAAACTGGTAAGTAGAAGGAAAGCACAGTTGGTATGCATAGAGTGTATTGAATTAAATTAAATGCACCGTCGCCGATCACTAGAGAGCAGATTTCAATCGTGCGTCGAAAGTAATCTGAGATTGATGGTTTTGCTTTAATTCGCTCTGTGATTGGTCCAAAAAACTCGCACCACTCTTTCCAACAATCAAATGCAACACTAAAATCAATCACGCCAAGCATTCTAAATTGTAATCCAAAACTAATCATCAAACCAAGCGTGGTCAGTTGATGAAGACTCAAAGGACTTATTCATTCACTCCCAAGGCTCTCAAATGATAATCATTTCTTTCCTTCTGACTATCGCCCTGTTACAATCACTAGTGAGCCAAATGCACTTTTTTGGTTAATGAAACAAAAACTTACAACATCTAACTAGAAGACTATTGCAAGGCGTCAAGTACAATCGGGTCCCAATGGGGTGATGGTTCTTACGGCTAACGGTTAAAATTTTGGCCATTTTACGGCTACGATTAAAACGTCCTTCCTTTGCAATTTAAAGAAAGTTTGTCAATGTTTACACGTACGGTTAGAACATCCTTACTTTGCAATTTAAAGAAAAATTTTAACGGTTAACTTTTTTCATTACTAACGGTTAAAATTTGTCAATTTTTACGCGTGACGGATAAATGTGTTGGCCGTTTCACGGCTAAAGGTTAACCCCATTGAGACGCTCGAACAAGTATTGTAACGTCAATTGACCCAAAAGGATAAGCTATATCTAAGTAATTTTTAGTACTCTTTTAGAGGCAGGGGAAGAGCTAACTTATAGGAGAAGCAAGGAACTTATGAGAAGGTCTTGGCGAGTGGTTCATGGAATATATACGGCTTATTAGAGTGTTACCATGATTACTTCTGGACAGCGCAGATTGTAAAGGGAATCCCCCTTCATCCTGCGTTGGAACTCCGGTGCGTCAACCGGGTTTTGAGTGTTGACAAAAGCCTGCGTTCTATACTCACCTTCATAGTTAGGATGAGCGTATTGAGAGCAATGAGTAACATGATAAAATACTCAAACGGTCTAGAATCCACGATCGTCCATATGCGGTACTGCCACGTGTTAGGATCTTCCGGCATGAATCTCTCGGAAGGTTTGGCCACAATAGCGAAATGAAGACAGTCTCTCTAATGAAGGAAAGATAAGACGTTTTGTAAGAAACCCTTACCAGTAAACTTGTCGGATGGATTTTCACTTCCGCATTGTAATTCATGTTCGTTGAATTCATCCACTAATTGGCTTCGAGCTCTTACGTTTAAAACTAAAAATTCAAAGCGGTATCTCTTTTTCATAACCTTCTGATTGCTGTTATGCAGACAAGCTTGTCACACACAGAAGGCAGTTCTCCGTCTCCTTTCAAGGCCTTAAGTTTTTCAACACCCTTAGTTGCAAAATTGAAAACACTCCAATACTAGCGTCCTTAAGAATAAATTTAAAAAACTTTCTAACAAGCAATTATTGACTTCTTTCTTTTTTTTTTCTTTTCCCCCTTGATCCGAGTCTGGCTTCACACCCGTGCGTATGAACCCTTTCCACTCTAACATCAATATGCATATTCTCCATACTATTCCTTATACATTCCCAAAGGTGCTGATGAGGAGAATTTGTTTCATAATCCAGGGCTTTTCTTGTTGCTGACCATTTCCTATATTCTCATGACCTTACTCTTTCATTCAGGGGTGATATTGTAAGAAGAACTTAAACGCTAGTCACTCTTATGGGTTAAAGGTTTAATCGATTTTACATATCAGTACAAACTTTATTTTAGCTGGGATCAACAACTCACCTGATTCCGGTCCAGTTCACATTCTCCCTGATCCTTTTCGCCTTGTTCTTGAAAAGTGAGGATGATAAGAGCCACGAAAATGTTTAAGAAGAAAAACGAAAAAACCACCACAAAGAAAATATAGAAGAGCAAAATCTGAACATTGTTATCCACGATCGGTCCACGATCGACTTCTGTTGTATCGATAGAGGCCTGCATGAGTCTGCAAGGGGGCAACGTAAAATTCCGTTCAGCGGTTAATGAGTCAAAATTTTCTCGGGGGGAGGGGTGGGGTCTCTTATCTAGCTTGAAAAGGTACGCGCCAATCGACAAGGAATGGGTTTTTGGGTTTCGAGCCTGAAAAATAGGCAGACAATTTCTTTACTGTGCAAAAGCTCACTTAAACTGACCTGAAATCCACTGATATACCCCTAAACCCCTAGATTCTTTCTTCAAACTGTTCCTAGTTATCTTGGAAATCAGTTATGAGAAATCCTGTCACATCAAGATAACAACCTCCTGTAGGGTTCTTTGTCTAATCTAATCAGCATATTGCTGGCTCATGTGATGATACTGAGACGAAAAGTAACAAGCTATTCACTTGTTGGTGGGGGGGGGAGGAAACTTACGCTGGCCAGCCCTCTCCTGTAGATGACGTAAACAGCGCTAACATTGCATTGATTACATTGTCAAAATTGTAATCTTGTAACTCCCATGTTCGATCTTTGACCTAGTAAAATTCATAAAAAGGGTTTGTGTTAGATGAAACCAATCACGTAGACACTATGGTTTTATGAACGCGTCTTAAAACATCTTTCTCTACTTCATTACTAAGCACCAAACCATCTTTGATAATCTAATCTCCCATATGACGCTTCTAACATTGCTGACCTTTGCAGCATGCGAGAGCGTGTCACGTATGAAACTATCAATATCAGTATCTGGGCAACTGCCCACCTACCCCTCCCCTAACCCAACAACAGTCAATTGATAACAAGTTAGGGTTAATGTTGGGTTAGGGGAGGTAGGTGGGCAGTTGCCCAGATATTGATATTGATCCAACTAGTTATGGCCTAACTGTAGTAGTAGAGTGGTAGTACATCGGAGCGCGAAGCCCGGATGTGTGAATTTTTGTTTTGTCACACACCCAGAGCTACTTACCTCAACGTTGGACATGTCTGTCAAATCGGGGTAACTTAAGTATTTTCCTCTATGAAAAGAATAAAAGACAATTACCATACACCTATAGGTAAGTTTATTCTGTTGGGTATGAACTGCTTCACAGACTTCTTTGAGCAGGCCCTCAAACTCATTCAATTGGAAGATGAATATGACGGACTCAAAAAATGTTTAAGACATCAAGATCAAGCCCATATGTCATCGATTCCAATCCTTGATAAAGAGGCGTTAAAAGGCTAACTGGTCTAACTACCACGAGAAACTGTGTAAAATGGTGGAGAGATAAGGAGAACTTACTGGCACTCCTCTTGAGTCATCTTCGAGGGATCATCACACATGAAAAATTTTCCCTGAAAAAACACAAAGTACATTACGGGCTGTTTACTTCTTGAATTTTCGTTGTTGTTTCTCATTTCCTTGTGGGTTTATGACACAGCCATAAGACAAGAACGGGCTCAATGTGGTGGGGGCGGAGGAGGGGGGGGATTCCAATACGAGGGTTGAACAGGCATTTTTGGGCATGCCAGGCTGTTTTAGTTTTTGTTTTCATTCAATTATTTGACGGATTGTTATGCCTAATGCTGGCCTGCCGTTTTCCAAGCTCCTTAGTCTGGGGAAAGGAACGAAAAGGCGGGATTTCAAAAAGGGGCAAGAGCTCAGGTAAAGAAAAAAATTAGGAAGGCGTCTCCTTGACTAGCGCACTATTTGGCTCACCCGCTCTTTTGTCCGTCTCCGCTGACCGAGAGCCTGCACCAGGCTAAATTAATGCTCGAGAAATCACGCCTGTCATAAAGATATCATCTACTAGTAACGTAAGTTACCTGGAAAAGCTGAACTCCAATAACAGAGAAGATGAACAGAAACAATAAAGTGATGATTAAAATGTTGAGAACGTTCTTCAGCGAGTACACCATACACTGGAAGACGGCCTGAAATGGCGCAAAAATATTGTCAGATTGTATCCCCAGTAGGTTAGCGTTGTACACTTTTGTAACATTTACTCTTTTTAAAAACAACATCTAACTTTAAGGCTCATACAGAACATAGTGTTAACCCAAGGCTTTGGAATTACTTTGCAAAGCATTTCATTACATAAATATTGACGGGCGAAAGTATTCGGACGAGAGTATTTTCATAATCTTCGGACCCTTTGAAGTTAACCCTCTGATGTTAATTCTTCGCGCCAAAATCGTTTAAATGCTGTAATTTGCATGATCTTATATATTTTACCTTGATAATGGAGTCATGACTACTCCGAAATGTCGGATTTTATCGTTCGTTTTTACCGTTTTATGTTTAAATGTATATATGACCTGGAAACCTTTTAATGTGCACTGTTTGCTTTGACGTAGTTTCAAATTGCAAGGAATAGGCTGTATTAATGTCAGTATCTAAGCAACTGCGCATCAACTCCTCCCCCAACCCAAAAACAGTCAATATTGTTATTGTTAGGTTATGGGAGGGGTAGGTGAGCAGTTGCTTAGATACTGACATTGATCCAATAAGCTTTTGTGTCTTTCTCAAATACCGCCAATAGGATGAGCGTAATTTTCATTCATCGGAGTAATAATGGAGTTTTTGCCTCCATAAGTACAATTTAAGTCTCGTTTTTTAACAAGTCTTGTTTCCATGAACGAACCGAGTAAAATTCTCAAAAGTAGAGTCTAGAATCATAATCAAGTGTACCTTCAATTTCTTGGCTTTGTTTATCGCTTTGAGAGGCCGAAGAACCCTGAGAACTCGCAAAACCTTCACTATCTTCTTAGACTGTGGGTTTATAGTGGATTGATCCTGATTGCTACACGAAACAAACAAACAAAATAAACAGTTATTCTATTAGCGTATGAAAGAAAAACTGTCTAAGAGCCAAAACCTTTCAACTTCTGGCCTTTCATCGGTAAGAAAATATTGCTGCTTTGAAGCATATTGTCTTTTACGGTTAAAGGTTAAGGTCAATACACGATACAAGTGACAAACATTGACAGAGCTAGTCTCGGTTTTCTTGGACTAAAGCGACTAGGATTATTTCTGCTCGGCCTTAATACCCCCACCCCCCAAACTCAGCATTTCGTCAAGTACTCCTGACGATGCGCTGGCATCCAGTGGTACATCTTAGTGGAGGAGGGCACATTGAGAGGAAAGTGTCTACCCCTTCTCGTAACCCTTTGTGTGGGTGATAAGCATCAAGTTTCTCCTAACAATAAAACCCTTGAATTACACATTAAGTTTCCGAGAATAAAGGAAATGATCACCAACTAAAAAAGCTCTTGATTGTCAAACAAATTCTCCTTGCCAGCACCTTAGGAAATATACGGGGGATAACAAGGAGAATATCCATATTGATGTAAGAGTGTAAAGGCTTAAACAAAGCAATAAAACAATGCTTCTGACCTCATCACAAGCGATGCTATGGCACAGGATACTACCAGGGCATCGATACAATTCCAGGCATCTCTGAAGTACGAGCCAGGATGAAGAATTGCTCCGTAGTCAATCAGCTGCGAGGAAAAAACAGTCCATAGCTTTAGTAAGGGAGTTTTTTGAATCAGGATTTAATAATTTATGACATTCTTTATTGAGATAACTTTTTCAATCAAATACGGTTTTGAAAAAGGATCTCGTTCGGTTGAAAAACACAAAATACACACAATCAACGATAAAATTCGACGCTGAAATATATAAAAATTGTTAGACTGTAAAAGATATCAACTAAAATAAATAATAATAATGTAGATCAAAGATTTAAACCATCACGCTTAAAAATAATCACGGATTCTCTAATTGCCTGGCTGAGGGAGTCAAAATCCTTGATTTAGAGCAGCAACCGATCAGAGCAAAGAAAACTTTAGAAGGAGCTAATGAAAACACAGGTAACCGGCCCAAAGTTTGAACTACAGGTTCGAAACAATTACCAGGCGCCGAGTAAAACTTGTGCAATCGCGGATCACTCATTGGGCGATACTAAACCAGCGTTTCTGAAACTGCTATATTTCATTAAGCTCCCTTACGTTTCTACGATCTTTTTGCATGGTGTTTGCGTTGACTGGGACATACAAATACAGGGAAATGAGATAGATTACCTTGACAATCACCTCCATTGCAAATATTGTGGTAAATACATAGTCAAAATACGTCAGCACCTAAAAAATTCAAAAGTCATCATTGTTATTACACCTAGTCACTTACCACTAATCATTTAGTTCAAACAATGTCATGAGGCTAGGGAAAAGTGACAATGGGTCGAATAAGAGGTGATTGAAGAAAACTTCAGGTGAACCTCTCCAAACAATCGGTTCTCGACAGTTGTTCATAAAGTAGAAGTCTGTACTCGTTCCAAGTGACCACCAGGCCGGAGCTTATCCCGGTTTCCTTGACATGAGGCGACTAGTCATGTTAGTCAGGCTTTCCTGACAACTCGCCGGCACCCATTTATACTCTTGGGTGTAAAGAGGCGCCGTGGGAGTCAAGTCTTTTGCGGCCGAGAACACAACACAGTGACCTGGCCAGGTCTCGAACCCAGACCCCTCAACCCGGAGTCCAGTGCACTAACCTTGGAGCCACACAGTGGTCCATACTCACACCATTATCTTAATCTCTTCACAACGGCAACTAAAACTGCGCGGCTTCTTACCTGGTTTCTTTTGGAATTTTCGTAAACTGGATCTTCAAGAGCCAATAAGACGCTACTGATGAGGATGATGACCAGGATGAAGTTGTCAAAATGTCTTAAATTCACCAGCCAGTGACATGCCTTCCGTACCCTTCAGAAAAGACAAATAATATATCATGACATGTATTTACTGCATTGTCAGAGGTAAGGAAGCAATTTTCAATGGGGTGTCAAAAGCTTACCGCGTTTTCACGCGCTACAGGACATTAGCACTTACGATCTGATTGGTTCCTTGTGACAATTTCATTTGTTCTGATTAGTTCCTTGTGACAATTTCATTTGTTCTGATTGGTTGCTTGTAACAATTTCATTTGTTCTGATTAGTTCCTTGTGACAATTTCATTTGTTCTGATTGGTTCCTTGTGACAATTTCATTTGTTCTGATTGGTTCCTTGTGACAATTTCATTTGTTCTGATTGGTTCCTTGTGACAATTTCATTTGTTCTGATTGGTTCCTAAGGATAATTTTCTTTATTCTGATTGTGAGTTTTGATTACTTTGCTTTTTTTCTACGAGCCTCGACCAAAAACTCCCCAATAATATAAAGAGGTGTCATTGCGAAATCCCTACACCACTCATTCTTGCGCATTTAAAACTCAGTAAACGTCATACAGAAGTTCGTGAAATATTTCAAACAGAGTAAATACAAAACTGAAAAATGGGCAGACATAGGCATGGGTAACCTTGTAGCACACTTAAGACAGCAGATCGTGCAGCTTCAATGCCTTTTTCAATGCCCATGAACTTGGACAACCTGTCACTAAACTTTAACAGTATCTCACTCGTACTTCATTGTAATGGCTTTCTCACAAAATGAAGACTACTAAAAAATATTTCGAATCTAATCAAAACTATGACAAAATATTTGAACGTAATTGGTTATCACCGGCCCGATTTGAGCACTCATAGGAAGCGTATGTGTTCTGCTTGTATAACTGGAGACTATGCACTTTTGACGCTGGTTTCGCTGAGTTGACTATTGTTTCGTTTATGAAAACCGATGGCCGGTGTGTTTCTCAAATTTCGTCATAGTTTCAATTAATTGGTAATAGGACTTCGTATCGTCCAATTTTATCTGTAATCATACCCGAAGTTTAAAAATCAGACTCCCACTTTGCGGTCGTCCTATTTTGTAGATCACTCATGTGATTACAGACCGAATTGGACTCCTCTCAGTCCTATAACATTACTTATGGTGCTTTCACTCACGGATTTCCAGGTGGGAAGAGAAATAAGGACCAAGTGTTTATGATCGGTACAGTATCTCCTGGCTTTTGTTGGGGAACCATTCTGCCAGGGTTTCTAAGATTGCTCAGAAATGATGGTCGGCCTGAAAGTAAACAGGAAATTGTTGTCCATTTGAAGGAAACGTTCACAGTAAATAACTGCTTACAGGATAGACAAAGAGTGGAGAGGGTAGG